AAAAATTAAACAAATATTATATTAATTTTAACATTAACATGAAAGTCAACGACATTGTGCTTTACATTGGGTGAGGAACTTTAGAGGGGGAAGTTCGATTCCACTGAGTATTATTTTTTTTCTTCCTAAAATAAAATAAATCAAATTTGGAGAAATTATAATTTAATTACTTGTAATTTAATGTTGGTGCATTGAAAAAACTCGAGATTTTAAAATGTGTATATAACATACTTGTAATTTGAGATGGATGCGTATAAAAATATGAGATTTCAAGATGTATAAATAAGGATCTAAAGTTTGTATTTGATGTGTATAACTACTTGAAATTATATGAAATTCTCTTAAATACCTTTATTTTTCTTTTTTTTTTTTCTTTTTTTAAAATACAAGCTTATTAAGAAATTTCAAGTGATTATTTGCACCAAGCGTAAATCTTAGGTGTTTATATACATATTTTGATATCTTGAGTCTTTATTTGCATATGTTGTGCTTATGATTTTGATGATTACAAAACACATTTGAGTAATTAATTGATTTATTTAAGTGTGTAGTTAAAGTGTCAATATACTGCAAAGTAAGCAAAATGAGATTGCATTAAAAAGGGCTCAAAGGGTAAAAATGAGCAGAGAGCCGACTTAAGAAAATTGCAGCCGGCTCTACAGACAAGAAATTCAACTGCTGTATTTGGCGTGCGTGAAAAATGGAAGCAGAGCCGGCTCCAACTTTATAGCCGGCTATGAGGGCGCACTTAATGCACAACGATCGACTTATTTGAAGAATATGTAATGTATTTAAAGTCGGAGTTCTAAAGCCGGCTCAAAGTTTTGCAGCCGGCTCTCGAGAAAAACAGAATGGGCTGCAAATCCGGATAGCCCGTTCTGGAAGTGTAAGCCGGCTCTAGGAAGCTAAGTCGGCTCTCCTGACAAATTTTGCAACTCGAGGGTTGCGTCCTGCAGAGCATTTAATGATCCCCAACGGCTAAAAATGGCTATTTTCGAGTAAGGGGCTATAAATATGGTTGGTAACAAATCTGAAGAAGTTTAGAGAACATTGCATTGAATATCTTTACCTACCTACTTGAGCTTTAACTTGAGTTTTTAATCTTTGAGTGATCATTGCTTGTAATCCTCTTATTGTGCTATTAGTGAGTGATCTTGAGGGTGTGTTGATTCCTTCAAGAGTGATCTATTGAGAGGATTTGTGGGGTTTACATTGTAAAAGGGTGAGGTTTGAGAAAAATACTCATCTTGTTATAAAAGGATTGAGTGGCTCCTTTAAGTCACCCTTGTCTTTCTTTGTGAAGAGTGTGGAGGAAATCTTTGGTGAGTGAAGTCAAGGTAGAGAATTAAATTCCAAGTGGTTGGATCGAACCTCAATAAATTCATTGTGCAAGTTCTTTTTCTCTACTCTCTTTAATTTTGTTTTTGTGGTTGAAAAAAGGGAGAATTTTTGAAACTCCAATTCACCCCTCTCTTGGAATACATTAAGTCAACAGCATATACCCAAAACTAGTTATATGCACATTTTGAAATTCCAAATCTTTATGTGCATTTATCTCAAAGTATAAAGTAGTTAAATTGTAATTTCCCCATTAAATTTTAAGTAATATGAATGTTACAGATGACGTCTAAGTGGCAAAAGTCATTGAAAATCTCTCTTAAGTCTTGTGTTCAAACTTGAGAGGTGGCAAATGGTTTAACGGTTTGCACTAGTTCAAATGATTTTGTTGATTTTAAGTGATTTAATTTCTTTATCGGTTTTAAATATTCATTTGACTCATTTAAATTATTTGGTTGAATGGTTTAACGGTTTGCACTAGTTCAAATGATTCTGTCAATTTTAAGTGGTTTAATCTCTTTATTAGTTTAAATACTCATTTGACTCATTTATAACATTAGGTATCGATCCGACCGACTTGTCTGGTTTAGTTTTCAAAACAATAGATCTTGCCAGCAAAAAGAGCAGTATAAACTATAAACATCTACTTAAACAAATTTCTCATATTTGAATTTTTGTCTATGGGCCAATAGACTTTGGTGGGATTAAGTAAAATTTATACATTGTTATAATATGAGAATATAATATACTTTGTAACTTTTCTTTAAAAATTCAATATAGTGCAACCACTTCAGGAAGTTGGGTGGGAAATTTTAGAAAATAACCACTTCAATTTATAGAAGTTTTTAAATCTAATAAATAATATATATAAAAATATTTCACATTAAAAGAGCTTTTTCTACCTACTTTAAGATGGACTAAACAACACAACCCACAACGCGGGCGTCATCTCTAATTAAATCCAATACTATTACTAGTACTTCATCATTTTCCCTCTCCTCTCTACTAGAATCTTCCATCCGCTCCCCTATTCTCTTCACTATTTCAATTCCAATTCCAATTGTTTATGGCATGAGGTTCCATGCGGGCGGCCTTTACAGTCCACTTAGGATTATTGGGATTGATTCTCCTCAATATGGCATTTTATAATTTACATATAACTTTTGCAATTCTCCGTTGCCTGAACTCAACAACAGTCAATAGGAAACAATACGAAAAAAAAAAAAAAGGTCTTATATATCTTTCCTACTCTTTCTTATCTGTGTTTTGGAAAATTATCAATTTTTATACTATGAAATTGTCCATATACTGTATTAATTGATTCAATTTCTTTTCCACATTCACACTCCTACAACCGCAAAATTAAACTTGCAGATTATAGTTTGCGTGTTAATTAATTATTTTGCTTTGGAAACTGCAGTTCATCGCAGAAATTTGTGGGCTAATCTGGGTGCAGGTGCAGGTAAAGCCCGGCCAATTCATAGCACTGGTATTCAAACTTTAAACATGGTTTCCTCTTTTTTCTAATTCCTTTCTCGTTAATTTATGGCATCCCTTAATTTCAATGATATTGATGGGGCAGCTCTCTTTGCATTGCAGGTCACATGTATGCGAGGGATTATTATAATATACTTGGTGTGATCAAGAGTGCCACTGCATCTGAAATCAAGAAAGCTTATTTAGGGGTGAGTTTTCTTCTCTTATCATATGCGTGTCTTTTTTACTGTCAAGTCCATGTCCACAGCATCATTCTTTTGAAATTCGAAGTTAAAAAATTATTTATATAATAAATAAAAATTACTATTTTAAAATTATTACTTAAAAAATAAAAAATAAAAAGAAATAAAAAAAAAAATCAATCTTTGAAGATATTTGTACTCTTCATTGTTTAAGAATGCAAGAAAGGGAAAAAGTTCGTTGGTCATTTGTATAATACGTATTGATTTGGGATTCATTATTTACAAGATGCTTGTGTGATTTTTTTCTCTTTTTTTTTTGTATTTTAATATTTTTATTTTTAAAAATTATTGTTATTACATAGATATTAAGTATAACAAAAACATATAATATTTTAATTATACAAATACAAATAACATGTAAGTTAAATAAAATGACTAAACTGTAATTCTAACTAGCTACTTAAGAGGGGATGAATTGGATCTTATCAATATACTTCAAAACTTGTTTCTTTTTCTTCAAAACTTGAATGAAGTTTCCAATTTATAAAATTGCTATGCAAAATAAATAAATAGTAATTGCATCTTACAAATAAAGTTTAAAAAAATAAAAAGAAAGGTGAAGAGAATATTAAGTTGTGATTTACAGTGGTTGCTTCAACTCTAAGTACATCCACTCTTAAGACTTCTCATTTGAAAGTTCAATCCACTAGGATTCTCTTACTTACCGATGCAAGATTAAACTAAAACAAATTCTTACTTATAAGTATAAGATTAAACCCTCACAAGTGAATCTCAACAACCCTCACAAGTGAATCTCAACAACTCACACAACCCTTCAAGGATTATTCGATCTAAAAAGAAAACAATACCCTCATAAGCAAGAATAAGTAACCCAAAGAGCTCACAAGAAGAAGATTTAAGGCTTTTTCAATTCTACAATCTTTGTTTTGAGAAGTCAATTGGAGAGGCCATTTCAGATCTGATTTTTTATGCATTTAATGGTTAGTCGGGAGATCTTACAATTAAACCTTGTTTTGCTCTTTAATGTCACCTCACAATCGCTCCAATCAAATTCCACTCTTTTTCTACTTCTCATAACGGACTTTGACTTTCCTTGGAAACTGATTTTAGTCATTTGAATCTCTTTAAGGCTCATTAAGACAAAACAGATAATTGAATTGTCAAAGGTTTATCTAAAATTTTCGCTTCAAAGGCAAAAATATTGGTTCGAACTATTTCCCAAAAAACTAAAGTTATAAATTATGGGATTTGTTCGAATAAATTGGAATTGATTCAAACCTGGATCGGATTCTAATTATGAGAAAAGATTATAATTCTCAAATTAATTTAGATTAAACTGTTTCAATTATGATTTTAAATCATCATCAAAATACAAAGAGAGCCTAATATAAACAGATCAAATAAACAATTCTAAACCTTTACACTTATTACTTTATTTGATATCTGTAAATATATTATTTTCATATCCATTATTTATCTAATTTTTTTACTGTTTAGATAAGACATTTACCTAAACAGACAAAATAATGCTCACCCCTAACAAGATCAACTATAGAAATCTTGACCGGTATTGAGCAGGAATTGGTGACGGTTCCCAAGTGTTACGTTTTCCACTGTTATCAGACTTGTATTTCTTGAAATTTGTTAATGAAGATTCAGTATTCCGTTAAAAAAAAAACAAAAAGAATTTCCAAACTTCCAGATCGCACTAAATCTCCTATGAACGTCAGCCTTCGGCCACACAATGAAATCCTTTTACGTGGAAATCCATATGGCAACTTACGCTTTGGAAATAACAATCCTACAAAGTTTCTTCCCCATATGGAACTAGAGAGTTGCAACAATAATAAAATCTTCAAAATGAATTCTACCATTACCAGGGCTTCAATATCACTCGATGCTTTTTGCAAAAGTCCCTTTAGAGAGGTATCAAGATGACCTGTAAATTTTGTCAGAAATAAGAACCAAACAAAACATATCAGGAGCCATGCAATTGGAACCCAAAAGGTTTGTCATTAAGAAACTCCTGAGTCCTGACGATTTGAGAACTCACCAGTTTTATTGATGAACTCCGAGCGGCATTTGATAAAATCATAGAATTGCAGGGGGGGAACATTTTGCTTGGATATACATATATATTTGATTTTACTTCTACAAGCAGATGCTAGAACAGATCTCCATCATCAGTTAGTTCTTGCCTTGATGCTTCAATTAGGGACGACATGCACCTGAGTACACAATACTGGGGATATTGTGAAGCAACTCTCAACTGGGTAACATACATTCAATATTTTGACAAAGAGGTCTCTCAACCAATTCTAACAAACCTTCCATTCCATCAAAATTGAATATTTTGACAGTTCCTAAGGCCAGTGAGAAGCAGAAGTTGATAGGAAGAGACTTCTTTTCTTCTTTGTCTGAAGCAAAATTAGCAATAAGATGAATCAAAGAGTGCAATACACTGATCTCTATATAATCAGAAATTGAACTTCAATATAAGAAGAAATTGCTTGCAATTATGTCATTACGTTGCAAAACATCACTTTAACTTTCCTAGTAGAGTTTTAAGACATTGTGGCTTGTAACTTAACTATCAGTTAATGTAAAGCAATTATATAATAGAAGTATGGTACATATAACTTGCTGTTGCTTTAAACAGAGGGTAAGAAATTCACCCTAGATTAATCAAGAATGGAGCAATCAACAAAAGATTAATTACCTCAGTAAAATAAAGTTCGTATGGCATATATTCCTTTCTTCAATCCTCAATCTGAATCTTCCTTATCCATCGTTGTCTCGAAAAGAGCACTAGAGAGAGATAATACATGATCAGATGGACAAGAAGGTATTGAAATGATAGATGTACTAAAATAGTGATTCAGCCAGATATTAAGATCATAAAACGAATGTTACTGTTCAACCACCAGCCTAATTTAGATAAATAAATAAAATATGGTATGTAGGGATCGCACTGAGAAATATAGATTTAACATACCTTTGAAAAATCAAGATCTTCGGGATCGCACCTTCTGCCCATTGATTCTGATCTCACGAGTGTGGCAAATGGTTGACCATTTGTCGCTGTCTGCTTGAGCATACTCCATTAATTTGGGACAATTGTTTACATCAAGAGATGTTAAGTTTGACAACCCTACATGATTGTATGCCCAGTATAGAGAGACTCGGAGATGCAGATCCATCTTCCCACCATGCTTTCAGCTCTGGACAATCCAGAATATGCAACTCCTCAAGGCAATCAAACACAACCATGCCTCGTGCTTCTGTCCATTTCTCTAGCTTTGTCATGTTGCTAAAAGTAAGTTTTCTCAAAGCTGGAAATGGTAGGATTGACTCTCCTTCACCTTGGCTGCTGCTTGCCCACCATTTTTTGAGCTCGGGGCAACGCTGAATATGCAACTCCTCAAGGCAAGGAAACACGACCATGCCTTGTGCCCCTGTCCATTCCTCCAGCTGTGTCATGTTCCTTAACTCAAGTTTTTTCAAAGCTGGAAATGGTTTTATTGATTGTCCCCCGCCTTGGCTGCTGCTTGCCATGCTGCTGCTTTCCGTGCTGCTACTTTGATGATAAGCCATTCTGCCTATCCTCTTCACATTTGGCATTGCCTTTAGATTGAGAACCTTAAGCTCAGGTATGAGTTCAAGGCACGAAATATCACCACATTCATCACAATCAATCAATTCCAACTTCACAAGTCTGTTAAGTTGAAAGGAAGCATGTGAACCACTGACATCCTTCATCATCCATGAAGGGCAGTTGCCTCCCCTATAATTCTCAATGGTTAAGCTTTTCAAATTTGAGTGAGGTCTAAGACCTTCCAGAACACCCATATCTTGGTTAGTGTTGGCTCTGTTTTTATTCCATACAAATTGCAACTCGATCAATTCTCCTTTCTCTTCAAGTTTTGCTTCACTAGCTTCTGGTTGAGATACTAGCTCAAGCTTGCAAAGTTTCAGTTTTCCTCTGAGCTGGTTCAAATATTTAAGCTCTCCAACTCTCCGACCATTTTCTGTGCCCACAACAAATAGTGGTAAAGTCTGAAGAGAAGTTAATTTTCCAATGCTACTTGGCACATGCCTTTCATCATCAAAATAAATATGCCTCAAGCTGACTAGATTTTCAATACCACTCGGGAGCTTTTCCAATGAATTGCAGCCTGTGAATCTTAAAGTCTGCAAATTGTAGAGCTTGGAGACAGATTTTGGTAGCCTTTCAATTACACTTTCTGATATGTCAAGGTATTTCATGTAATATTTCAATCTGCCAAGAGAAGATTCCAACTCATTTGCATCAGCAGCTGCTAGCTTTAAAGATTGCAAACTTCTGGACTTCTTAGGCATCAGGTGCAAAACATCAACATCCAAGAACAAAGAGTGCAACCTTTGAGGAACATCTTCTGGAACAGTTTGAGGGTTTCCATTAGACTTAACCCTCAAATGCCGAACACTCTCCTCAATTTGAGGGGTATCCGGCCAAATACATGTTTCATATTTTGCTGAGAGCAATGAAAGATTATGCACCTCATCATGCATCTTGCAAAACTTTATATTCCCACACTCATCCATATCCAGGTCTTGCAATAAGTAATTGGATACCAAATCATCGAAGTACATGTTACCAACATCTTCATCTGATTTGCTGCCATTAGATTGGGAAAGAAACCCATTAGCCATCCAACACTGAACTAATTCATCTCTACTAATTTTAACAATTTTTTCTTTTGGAAAAATTGAACAGAAGGAAAAGCATTTTTTCAAATGTAGAGGCAAGTGATCATAACTTTTTTTCAGTTGAGACAGAATCTCCTGTCTATGTGGTGCATCCCATGCTTTATTATCTCTGATAGCTGACCACTCATTTACCCCAATAGGATCGCCCAAGCGTTCGCCCATGCGTTCGCCCAAGCATTCGCCCAAGTGTTTGCCAATGACAGCTGCAACTAATGGCAAACCTCCACACTGTTTTGCAATATCTTTTCCAATAGACAACAACTGTGGATCTTTTATTGAAGTTCTCTTGGACGATCTGAGAACATTCTCCTCCATTATCAACCAGCAGTCATCGTCTGCTAGCTTTTGCAATTCATGCTCATGCAAAGGAATTGTGCCCATTATTGAAGCTACCTCTTTGTTACTAGTTGTTATGACAACAGAGATTGTAGTAGTTTTGAAATTATTTGGCAGATCAGAGATGAACTTCTTCAACCTTCGAGCATCATCTTCATTCCATACACCATCAAGGATGAGAAGAATTTTTTTATTTTCTAACTCTCTTTTAAGAAAA